GGCGGTGCCCAGTCGTGTTCCCGCATGGGGCCCCACGTGCTTTCGGACAGGTACCAGCGGGTTCCCGCATGAGGCACCACGTGCTTTCGGACAGGTACCAGCGGGTTCCCGCATGGGGCACCATGTGCTTTCAGACGGGCACCAGCGGGTTCCCGCATGGGGCACCACGTGCTTTTGGACAGGCACCAGTGGGGAGCCCGGGTGAGCCGTACCCATACACCCTTTGCACGGCCGGGCTCCCGGCCCCCCAGCACTGGTGGCTTGCTGGCTGCCACCTGTGGGGTTACTGCTTAACTTTCCCTGGCACAAGCAGGCATCGCTGCCCCTTGGGTGAAGGTGGCACGGGGAGGAAGGCAGCTCTGCCTCGGGGTTTCCTCCTGGCCTGGCCCATGCCAGGTGCCAGGGCACTGTGTGGGGCCCTCCGGCTCCACGCTGGCACCGGGGCAGGACAGTGGAGGACGCAGGTGCCCCCTCCTCAAAAAAGGAAAAACAAAAAAAAAAAAAGCAGAAAGTTCAGCAAGTTTCCCACAGCACTGGGGCTGATGTGGGGAGGGAGGTTTGGTGGTTCCATGGGCATCCTTGAGCTTTCCAGCTCAGACCAGCATCAAAGCCTTGCACTGGTGCCCTCCGCCAGCTCACAGGGGCAGCTGGGCACCAGGGACCCCACACGGGATGGGGCCAGCTGCCCTCAGTGCTGTGCTCCCCCAAACCAGTGTGCGCCCAGCTCCCACAGCCGCAGGATCCGGCCGGGCATCCCTGGGATGCTTCACAGAGCAGTGATTTCGCCAGGAGCATCGGTGGCTGGTTGCTGCTGGTTCTGCCCTTCCATGCTGTGGCACGGCTGCTGCCTCCCTCCCCACCAGCATCCCAGGGCATCGCTGCTCCCCTTCTCCCCGGGGCATCCCACTGCGGCTGCTCGAGCTCGGTGCACGTCAGGGGCGAGGGCGTTGACGCCTGGGCCATGGGCTCACCACGCCATGAGCTCCCACCACGGCACAGGCACCCTGCAGCCACCCTGACCCCAGTCAAGTCGGGGCAAAAGGATGGCAAGGTGACATCCCTCGGTGCAGATGTCAATCCAAGCCCTGTCCCTGTCCCCCTGCTCCGAAGACATGGGCCCATCCTGCTCCCACCCTCCACTGCACCAGCCCTTTTTTAAGAGCCTGGTTTCCCCCACATCCCTTTTTCCTCCCCCATTTCTGCCAGATCTGCCCTTGTCCCAGTGTTCCCCATGGCCGCAGGCTCCCTGCCCGTTTGGCTGCGGGGGGTTGCTCCGGATGAGGCACCCACAGTTTAAGCCCACTGCATCCCCACAGCTGGGGGCTGAGCCCGGCTGCCCCCACACTGCCCAGCCAGTGGAGACAACAAAATGCCACCTCTGGGGCCAGCTGGTCGGGGAACTGGGGACCAGCATTTTGCTCCCAGTGCTGGCAGCTTCCCCCTGGAAGCTGGTGCTCAGCCCTCAAGGGGGGGGGGAGCGTCACTGCCCCTCCTTTGCCCCCCCAGGACCCCTGCATGCCACTCAGCTGCTGCTGCCTTGTTCCCACAAGGGGCCGTGCCACCCCCGCTGCTCCCCAGGGGACATGCCTGTCATCTTGGTGTCAGGGCAGGCCCTGAGCCGCTTGTTTGCTCTGGCTCGGGGACAAGGCCGTTTCCCAGCAGCCCTGTGCCCTGTCCTTGCTGGGATTTCTGCTTTCCACAGCACGGCAGGGAGCCGGCCGGGGCCTGGCTGGGGACCAGCAGCCCGAGGCGAGCCAGCATCGCCCTGGGAGCACAGCGAGCCCTGCGCCCGCTTCCCCCCAGCCAGGGCACCAGGGGCACGAGGGGACCACCCTCTGCCCTGCCCGCATCGACCGGGTCCCATGCTCAGAAATAAGTGCTCAGGACAGCCTCAAACCGAAAAGTCATTTTATTGGTACCATACATGACTCATAAATGGCACAAACTATGGAGGGGAGGAAGAAA